CGCCTCAAAAGCCCATGAATGTGTTGGAGAAGACCTCACTGAGATTTAGGGTTTAGGGTTTAGCGTTTAGGGTTTGGGGTTTAGGGTTTAGGGTTTAGGGCTTGGACTTGAGGGATTCAGGGTTTAGGGTTTAAGGGTTCAGGGCTTAGGCCTCAAGACTTCGGGCTCGAAGTTGCTTAGGGTTGCAGTGGGAAAGAGCTGTTGAGGAGAACCAAAACACCTACGGCTCGAACCCCAACATTTCCACACCCCAGATCCTCAACCCTCAACCTGCAACCCTGAATCCCGAAATCCTAAACCCTAAACCCTAAATCCTAAACCCGAAATTCTCAATCCTCAATACTCAACTCCCTACGTTTGGAAGGCTCAGGGATAGGGTGTAAGGTTTGAGGAACTTTTTCCCCGTCAAGATGCCCCGCAGTAACAGGCAAGCTGAATTAGGCACTCTCTCTGCACCGCCAGTGTCCAGACTAGGGATGAGCGGTGCCGAAACATAAGCCCTGGAACCCTAAACCCTAAACCCTAAACCCCAGACCCTAAACCTTAAACCCCAACAATATTGTGGTGGTTCGGCTTCCCTGAACTCTAAGCCCTTTTGCAATCCAGAAGCCTGAGCCTGAGACCACCCCTAAGAAAGCCGTGAGCCCTCCTAAACCCTGAACCCTAAACCCTAAACCCTAAACCCTCAACCCTGAACCCTAAAACCCTAAACCCTAAAACCCTAAGCCCTAAACCCTGAAACCCTGAGCTCTAAACCCTTTCAGAAAGCCTGTGCCCAAGCCTCCTTTAAGCAAGAAACAGCCCTCAGCTTTCAGGACTTAGGGAGGCTTAGGGGGAGTTGAGGACCATGGCAGAGATAAAGACAGTTTATCGTATAAATGCTATGCCAGCTAGGGTTCAGGGTTTGGGTTTCGGGTTTACTGTTTAGGGTTAGGTTTAGGGCGGTTTAGGCGTATAGGGTGTACGCCCCTCGGACCACAGATGCACAAGAGGACTAGAGGTCAGGGCTTGGCGTTGTGTGCGGGATCTCGTACCCCGAAGGATGTAGCCCGAAGAGGTTCCCTTAATATGCTCCTACTATGGCCCTTAAATTCCCTTAGGGGATCCTTATAAAGGGCCCCGAAACCCAAGGGTACAACCTTAGGGGTCCAAGGCAGAGTCCCATGAAGAGGCAAACCCTAAACCCTAAACCCTAAACCCTAAACCCTAAACCCTAAACCCTAAACCCTAAACCCTAAACCCTAAACCCTCTGCCTGCCGGGCCCTGGTGGTGGGAAGTGCCAAGTGGACCCCTGCTCAGAGGCCGCGCTGGCGAGAACGCCGTGCAGTTCCTTTACGATCATGTGCTGAGTCCCGCCGGTAAGTATGACTATCATAAACCCTGAAGCCCTAAACCCTAAACCCTAAACCCTAAACCCTAAACCCTAAACCCTAAACCCTGAACCCTAAACCCTAAACCCTAAACCCTAAACCCTAAACCCTAAACCCCCGGAACGTATCTTCAACCCTAAGCCGCTAAACCCTGAACCCTGGCCCTGTTCGGGGTCTGGTTTTCGTTTAGGGCTCAAGGAGACAAGGTTGGGTTGAGAGGGTCGGGGTTTAGGGATTTAGGGCTTAGCGGGTGCTTAGCGGGCGTTCGTGGGCCTTGGAGGGGTTTAGGGTTAGGGGTTCTGGGTTTGGGGTTAGGGGTTAGAAGATAAGGTTGAGGGATTGCATGCGGTGCTGAATTGGAGGGCGCGACAGAATCCCTGCACCTGACAAAGTAAGGCGCTCGAATGCACCAAGCATACCTCATTCTAAAGGGCACAGGGGGGGGGGGGGGGGGGGGGGAGGGGTGCTCTTCTAGATTGGGCTCTCGGGGGTCCTTTCTACTCCGGGGGTCCTTTCTATAGAGGCTTCTTCCATGAACCTCAGGGTAAAGGTCTCTAATTTAGCCCCCGTGCAGGTTAAACCCGAAACCCGAAACCCTAAACCCTAAACCCTAAACCCTAAACCCTAAACCCTAAACCCTAAACCCTAAACCCTAAACCCTAAACGTTCTCCGAGCCAGGTCTGGCGCCTCTGAGAGCGTGACATTGACTGCCAGGACCGGAGCAGCGCCAAGTACAGCTGCCCTCTAAACCGAAACTCCTGTAAACCCTAAACCCTAAACCCTAAACCCTAAACCCTAAACCCTAAACCCTAAACCCTAAACCCCAAACCTAAACCCCAAACCCCAAACCCCACACCTCACACCTCACACCCCACACCCCACACCCCAACTTCCTGAGCCCTGCGCCCTGTTCTAGGTGCTTGCAGCAAAGGAACTCGGTTTACGACAACGGTTGCACATAGAAGTAGGCGGAAACGGCCTCCTAAACCTCAAAACCCGCTCCCTCTAGACCCTAAGCCCACAGCCCGAAACCTAAACCCTAAACCCAAAACCCTTAAATGCCCTGAAGTAACCTGGTTTGACCCTCTGCCTCTGGAAGACTTGTCTGCTACTCCCGTCCTAGCACAACCGATTCAGAGAGACTTGGGTATTTCCCAGTCTTTAGGGTTTGGGGTATAGGGTACCCCCCTAGTATACCCCGAAATGCTGGAAATCCTGATTTTGGAAGTCCTGTAAGGGTTACCCCTAAACCTTAAACCCTGAAACCTGAAGAACCTTAAACCCATAGGGTTTAGGGTGGTTTAGGGTTTTGACTGAAGGCTGTTAATATCTTTTCCGGGGTCCCAAAAGGTTTTGGATGTTTTGTAAGACTTGAAGAGTTGATTAGGACTTTTATGGCTTCGGTTTTTAGGGCTCAGGGCTGAGGATTTAGGGATTGGGTTTTACAAAACCTGACCCCGTTGTCTTACAAGACCCTGAACCCAAAAACCCTCGAACTCCGGGATGTACTTAGCTTAGGGTGTAGGGTTTGGGGTTTAGGGTTTCGGGTTCGGGTTTGATATTTGGGGCTTAGGGTTTAGGGTTTAGGGTTTCGGGTAGACCTTGCGCCGCTTATCCAGAGGTTTGCTGGAGCGTGCGAGCCTCCTCCTCGGCGAGGAGCGCCTGGACCAAGAGAGCCCCAGAATAGGGTTTAGGGTTTGGGGTTTAGAGATTAGGGTTTGGGGTTTGGGGTTTGGGGTTTGGGGTTTGGGGTTTAGGGTTTGGGGTTTAGGGTTTAGGGTTTAGGGGGTTTAGGGGGCTTAGGGGGTTTAGGGGTTTAGGGGGTTTAGGGGGTTTAGGGGGTTAGGGGGTTTAGGGGGTTTAGGGGGTTTAGGGGGTTTAGGGGGTTTAGGGGGTTTAGGGGGTTTAGGGGGTTTAGGGGGTTTAGGGGGTTTAGGGGGTTTAGGGGGTTTAGGCGGTTTAGGCGGTTTAGGCGGTCTAGGGGTCTAGGGATTAGAGTTAGGGCTTAGGGTTTAGGGCTTAGTTCATAAACAGCCATAGAATCGTATCATGATCATAACCCTCACGAATAATCATAGAACCATACACTCAAGCGAGATTCACCCGATACAGTAAGCAAAAGACATGGTGTGGGGCTAGGTGACGGAGTATAAAGCCCTCCAGGCATTGAGACATTGACGACGCAGAATGAAAACACTAAACCCTTGAACACGCAACTCTTTTGACCTCTAAATTCAGGGACCTGTGCCCCAATAAGATTCCCCCAACATGCGGCTTCTTCTGGGGCTCCAAGTATCTTTCGGGAGCCTTACACTTACGTGGTATGCAAAACGAAGCCATGTTTGGGAAAACCCCTAAGCGCTTAGCCGCTCTCTGGTTGGCCTCCGTTTTTTCTCGCCCAAAGTCACGCTCTCTGCTACTCTACGGGGCTGCATGGTGTTTGCAGATTGGGCTTGGGGTTTGGGGTGTGGGATTTGGGGTTTTGGGTTCAGGCGTCAGAGTCCTCGCACGTGGGATTTGGGGTTGGGTTCAGGCGTCGGAGTCCTCGCACCAGCATGTTGATTGCATTTGAGTTTTAGGGGCTTGTGCGGCTGGAGGGGGGAGATAACAGTCAATACAAGACTACCATTTGAAGCCCTGATACCTTGAACCCTAAACCCTAAACCCGAAACGCCAACCAAAAGAGCTGCTGCCCAGTGGGTTCTGACACGCCGGATGTTACCGACGGAACAGACGCTGGGCATTCTCCAGGAGGGTGGCCATCACAATGACCACACACTCCTGGGCGCACACTCACCCTAAACCCTAAACCCTAAACCCTAAACCCTAAACCCTAAACCCTAAGCCCTAAACCCCAAACCCCAAACCCCAAACCCCAAACCCTGAACCCTCCTAGGGTGTAGAGAGTGTAGGCAAAGGTGTAGGCTAAAGCAAGGCCCTGAACAAAAACATTACCAGCTTGAGGTGGTCCTTCTGGGAAGATAGGATATATGCAGGGCTCTGCTTATGAGGCTTCAAGGCTTCTCTAAATTCACTGGACTAGGGTCGAGAGTTTAGGGGTTTAGGGTTTGGGGTCTAGGCGTTGATACACAAGCACCAGACACCTCAGAGCTTCGTTAGGGACGGCCAAAGGCACCAATGCCACTTTCCGCGGGTGCAAGTTTGTTGGTTCGCAGTTGCAGCAAGGAACCTCTGACAGATGAGAACCGACTCTGTAAGTCTAGGGCTCACAGCGCTTCCCCAAGCACCTCCAAAAGCTCGTTTGGAAAGACGTCAAAAACCGACTTCACGCTGGACAATGGTGCCTTCAAACCCCAGACCCCAAAACCCTAAACAAGCTACCATTTCCTTAAGAACCCCCCAAAAAATGAAATGTGACAAACTTTCCCTTGTCAGGAACAACATTCTTTAACGCAAGCCGTAGTAAACCCTTAAAAATCACCCTTATAAGGAACAACATTCTTTAAAGCAAATAGCTTGGGATGTACCCTAAACCCTAAACCCTAAACCCTAAACCCTAAACCCTAAAGCCTAAAGCCTAAACCCTAAACCAGTGTATGTACAAGGTGGAACATCCCCACAAATAGCAGTAAACCCCACAAACATAGCCTTTTGCGGCCCAGGGCTC